CACAAATAGAAAATACATATTTCAGAGACTACATAGCAGACACTATGACAATGGGAGGACTAAGGATAATGGCAGAAGTAAATATATCTCCCTGTTAAATTACAGAAAACCAAGACAGGAGTATGACAGGAACAGCATGGCAACCACTACCATAATAGAGAGAGAGCGGCACCTATTGTCTTCAGAACCAAATGTAAACTGTTAATCATGGGTGACTTCAGACATTGAAAGATTGACTGGGAAAATAGAGAACCACACGGAGGGACTGAAACATGGAGAGCTTAATTATTAGATGTGGAGAAACTTTCTATGTCAACATGTCAAGGGAGTCCATATATAGTCAAGAATGAGAGGAAATGACGAACCAGCCAGACTTGATCTGATATTCACCCTGAACGAGTCTGAGCATAAGGGAAATTAAATCAGAACCTCCCATAGGAAGGAGTGGTTTCAGTGTTCTAACATTTGAATATCTGGTGGAAGTAAGAATAATCCATCCAAGGAAAGGACCGAAAAGTAAAAGGCTATTGAAGGGGAAACTATGAGGAGGTAAGAAAATTTATCATAGAAATACCATGTGAGACAGAGCTCAGAGAAAAGTCAGCACAGGGCACGATGATCTACATCACTCAGAAGTGTCAGGAGGCAGAGAACAGGTTTATCCCGGCACAGAAAGAATAAAACGAAAAACAAAAGAGGAATCCGTGGTTCAGTCAGGCATGTAAGGAAGCAAGGCAGCTAAGCACAAGGGCATGGAGAAACTAACATGACACCAGAGAGCAGAGAGAGATATCAGAGGGCCAGAAATGGGCACCTCAGTTTGAGGAGAGAAGCAGAGAGGACATTTGAAATTGACATAGCAAATAAAGCCAAGACCCAACCAAAACTGCTATACAGCCACATCAGATGGAAAACAAGAGTGAAAGAACAGGTGATGAAACAGAAAATGGGAGAGGATGGGTACACACAAAATGACAAAGAGGTGTGAGAAGAATCTCAACAAGAGATTCCAGGAGGTCTTCACAAGAGAGCAAGGAGATGTCCCTAAACTATGAGAGGTGATGATAAACCAAGTAATTTTTGAAGATATTGAAAGTACCAGAGATGAGGTTAAGAGGTATCTGCTCGATCTAGACGTGACTAAGGCTGCTGGCCATGATGGAATATTACTATGGATGCTAAACGAGAGCAGAAGCACTAAGTGTGCCTCTCTCTATGGTGTATAACAAGTAACTGGAAACAGGAGACCTACCAGAGCATATGTAGAAAGATAACGTAGTCCCAGTATACAAAAAGAGGGATAGGCAAGAGGCCGTAAACTACAGGCCGGTGTCCATAACGTGCATGCTATGCAAAGTGATGGAAAAGACCACGAGGAAAAGGCTGTAGCACATCTAGATAGAAGGTACGATGCAACACACCTCCAGCATGGGTTCAGGGAAGGCAAGTCGTGTCTCACAGGTTTAATATAATTCTATGACTAAGTAACAAGCATTAAGCAAGAAAGAGAAGGATGGGCAGACTGCATTTTCTTGGACTGTCAGAAAACGTTTGACATAGTACCCCATAAAAGACTGTTGCATAAGTTGAAGAAATAGGCTTGAGTAACTGGTAAGGTGCTCCAATGAATAAGGGAGTACCTAAACAACAGGAAGCAGAGATTTACTGTGCGTGGGGAGATTTCAGACTGGCGTGATGTCACCAGCGGAGTACCACAGGGTTCTGTACTTGGACCTATCTTGTTTCTGATATACGTGAATGCTCTTCCAGAGGGTATAGACTCATTCCACTTAATATTTGCTGATGATGCTAAAATTATGAGAAGGAGTAAGACAGAGGAGGACAGCAAGAGGCTGCAGGATGACTGACGGAAAGGTCCAACAAATGGCTACCAGAGTTTAACTCGAGCAAGTGAAAAGTAATGAAGATAGGCGTAGATAGCAGGAGACCATATACAATGTACCAGCTGAGAGAGGAAATCCTTAGGGAGTCAGGAAGAGAGAAAGCTCTGGGGGTTGATATCACATCAGAACAATTCCCTGAAGCCCACATCAAAAGGATAATATCAGCGGCGTATGCAAGGCTAGTGAACATAAGAACTGCCTTCAGAAACTTGGGTAAGGAATCATTCAAAATTTTGTATACCTCATATGTCAGACTAATACTAGAATAGGCGGCTCCAGCCTGGAGTCACATCTAGTCAAACACAAAACGACGTTAGAAAAGGTTCAGAGGTATGCCACCAGGCAAGTCCCCGAGCTGAGAGTTATGGGTAACGAGGAAAGATTACTGGAACTAAACCTCACGACAATGGAAGACAGAATAGTTAGGGGAGACATGATCACTATCTATAAAATTCTTAGAGGAATTGACAGTGTAATCATGATAAAATGTTTAGCACAAGTGGTACGCGAACATTGGGATACAGGTGGAAGTTGAGTACCAAAATGAACCACAGGGACGTTAGAAAGAACTTTTTCAATGTCAAAGTAGTTAACAGATGGAATGTATTAAGCAGCAAAGTGATGGATGAAGAATTCATACACAGTTTCAAATGAAGATATGATAAAGCCCGGTACGCTGAGGACAACACCAGTTGATTGATCGTTGAGAGGCGGGACCAAATAATCGAATCTTAACCCCTACAAGCACAACTAGGTAAGTACAACTAGGTGAGTACACACACGCCTAAACATACACTTTAGGGGGGCGGTGGATGACTGGATAGCACACTGGACGCGTGATCCTGTGGTCGCGGGTTCCACTCCCGCCGGCAGAGGCAATGGGCAGAGTTTCTTTCACCCTGATGCCCCTGTTGCCTAGCAGTAAATTGGTACCTGGGAGTTAGTCAGCTGTCACGGGCTGCTTCCTGGAGTGTGTGTGTGTGTGTGTGGTGTGGAAAAAAAATAGTTAGTAACAGTTGATTGACAGTTGAGAGGCGGGCCGAAAGAGCAGAGCTCCACCCCCGCAAGCACAACTAGGTGAATACAACTAGGTGAATTTTCAGATTGACTGTTAGAAAACATTTAATATGGTCCTGCATGAAAGACTCCTTCTCAAGCTAGAAAAGCAGGCTGGCATATCTGGAAGAGTCTTAAGGTGGGTCAGAGAGTATCTCTCCGGAAGGAAACAGTGGGTTACAGTGAGAGCAGAGACATCAATATAGGGAGGTTACAAGTGGAGTACCACAAGGGATGGTTCTAGGGACCATACAGTTTATAGTATATGTCGTTGACCTGAAAGTGGAAACTGGCACAATCCAGTTAAATTCAATGTTTGCAGATGATGGAAACATAATGTTTACAGACAACAGATCACGACAAAGGAGGAGCAGCAGGAACATAAATCACAGAGATTTCATGACAGTAGAGATGAAACAATGTTTAAGTGACTGGCAGGACCTCGACCTCACTACCACACACCCCCCTCCCATCCCCAACCACACTCCACAACCACACCCCACAACCACACCCCACAACCACACCCCACAACCACACCCTACAACCACACCTTACAACCACACCCCACAACCACACACTACAACCACACCCCACAACCACACCCCACAACCACACCCCACAACAACACCCTACAACAACACCCAACAACCACACCATACAACCACACCCTACAACCACACCCCACAACCACACCCTACAACAACACCCAACAACCACACCGTACGACCACACCCTACAACCACACCCCACAACCACACCCCACAACCACACCCCACAACCATACCCTACAACCACACCCTACAACCACACCCTACAACCACACCCTACAACAACACCCAACAACCACACCATACAACCACACACTACAACCACACCCCACAACCACACCCCACAACCACACCCCTACAACCATACCCTACAACCACACCCCACAACCACACCCTACAACAACACCCAACAACCACACACTACAACCACACCCCGCAATCACACCCCACAACCACACCCCACAACCATACCCTACAACCACACTCTACAAACACACCCCACAACCACACCCCACAACCATACCCTACAACCACACACTACAACCACACCCCACAACCACACCCTACAACCACACCCTACAACCACACCCAACAACCACACCCCACAACCCCACCCCACAACCAAACCCTACAACCATGCCCTACAACCACACCATACAACCTCACCATACAACCACACACCACAACCACACCCCACAACCACAACCCCACAACCACACCATACAACCACACCCTACAACCACACCCCACAACCACACCATACAACCACACCCCACAACCACACCCCACAACCGCACCCTACAACCACACCCTACAACCACACCCCACAACCACACCCTACAACAACACCCAACAACCACACCATACAACCACACCCTTCAACCACACCCCACAACCACACTCCACAACCACACCCCACAACCATACCCTACAACCACACCCTACAACCACACCCCACAACCACACCATACAACCACACCCCACAACCACACCCCACAACCACACCCCTCAACCACACCCCACAACAACACCCCACAACCACACCCCACAACCACACCCCACAACCACACCCCACAACCACACCCCACAACCACACCCCACAACCACACCCCACAACCACACCCCACAACCACACCCCACAACCACACCCTACAACCACACCCCACAACCACACCCCACAACCACACCCCACAACCACACTCTACAACCACACCCTACAACCACACCCCACAACCACACTTCACAACCACACCCCACAACCACACCCTACAACCACACCCCATAACCACATCCTACAACCACACCCCGCAACCACACCCCACAACCACACCCTAAAACGTCCCCCCACCCTCCAGTGCCTGAGAATAATCGGACCTATACATGCCCCCGCGGAACCGAATCCCCCCCACACCCATGCTTTGCCACACACCCCCCTTGACCATACATGATCCTGCTGTGCCCCCCCCCTCATCCCCCCCCCATCCCCCCCCCATTAACTCATGCCCAGGCCTTTCCTCCCACCAACACCCCCCTGACTACCACTCTTTCCCTGACTTCCACGCACTCCCTGACCTCCGCCCACTCCCTGACCTCCGCCCACTCTCTGACCTCCGCCCACTCCCTGACCTCCGCCCACTCCCTGACCTCCGCTCACTCCCTGACTTCCGCCCACTCCCTGACCTCCGCCCACTCCCTGACTTCTGCCCACTCCCTGACCTCCGCCCACTCCCTGACCTCCGCCCACTCCCGGACCTCCGCCCACTCCCTGACCTCCGCCCACTCCCTGACCTCCGCCCACTCCCGGACCTCCGCCCACTCCCTGACCTCCGCCCACTCCCTCACCTCCGCCCACTCCCTCACCTCCGCCCACTCCCTGACCTTCGCCCACTCCCTCACCTCCGCCCACTCCCTCACCTCCGCCCACTCCCTCACCTCCGCCCACTCCCTGACCTCCGCCCACTTCCTGACCCCCACCGAATCCCTGACCTCCGCCCACTCCCTGACCTCCGCCCACTCCCTGACCTCCGCCCACTCCCTGACCTCCGCCCACTCCCTGACCTCCGCCCACTCCCTGACCTCCGCACACTTCCTGACCCCCACCGAATCCCTGACCACCGTCGACCCCTGACCCCCTACTCACACCTCGGACTCCGACCCATTCCCTGGTAGTTCCATAACCACACATCAATACCACCACCAATCATCAATATCACCACCACACAGCAATACCACCATAACACATCAATACCACCGCAACACTTTAATACCACCACCAATCATTAATACCACCACCATGCATCAATACTACCACCACACATCAATACCACAACCAATCATCAAAACCACCACCCCACATCAATACCACCATCATAATCACATCAATACCACCACCGCACATCAATACCACCACCACACATCAATACCACCACCACACATCAATACCACCACCACATATCAATACCACCACCACATATCAATACCACCACCACACATCAATAACACCACCACACATCAATACCACCACCATACATCAACATCACCACTACACATCAATACATGACTACTCATCAACACCACCACCACTCATCAATACCATCTCCACACATCAATACCACCACCACACATCAATCCCATCACGACACATATATACTACTTCCACTCATCAATACCACCACTACTCATCAATACCACCTCCACACATCAATACCACCACCATTCATCAATACCACCACCACACATCAATACCTCCACCACACATCAATGCAACCACCACTACTCATCAATACCACCACCATTCATCAATGCCACCTCCACACATCAATACCACCTCCACACATCAATACCACCACCACTCATCAATACCACCTCCACACATCAATACCACAATCACACATCAATTCCACCACTACTCATCAATACCACCTCCACACATCAATACCACCACCACACATCAATACCATCACGACACATCAATACTACTACCACTCATCAATACCACCACCACACATCAATACCACCACCACACATCAATACCATCACGACACATCAATACTACTACCACTCATCAGTACCACTACCTCCACACTTCAATACCATCACCACACTTCAATACCTCCCCCACACATCAATACAACCACCACAGATCAATATCACCACCACTCATCAGTACCACTACCACCACACATCAATAGCACCACCACTCATTAAAACCACCACCACACATCAATACCACCACAACCACTTATCAATACCACCACCACACATCATCACTACCACCACACATCAACACCACCACCACACATCATTACCACCACAACACATCAATAACACCACCACCAATGCTCATCAATACCACCACCACCACTTATCAATACCACCACCACACATCCATTCACTGATCAATACCACCACAACACATCTATACCACCATTACCACACATCAATACCACCACCACACATCAATACCTCCACCACACATCAATACCACAGTAGTAGGGATGGCGCCGCACAGGTAACTTTTTTTTCTGGGGAAAAAGTTACCTGTGTGAGCCATGGTTTTCAGGTCCAAAGGGGAAACCTTCTTTCCTTCTTTTACTTTGATTTCACATATAAGTTCATTCTTTATCTTAGTAATAATAAAATTACAATAGTAAAGAATCAGATCTACTAAGACTTGAAATTGAGAAAAACAAGAGAGCAAGTGAGTGAGAGCATGAAAAGAGGAGAAAAGAGTAAGAGAGGGGGGGAGGAAGAGCATGGGAGCACTAAGACTTGAATTTGAGAAAAAGAAAAACTAAGTGAATGAGAGTGAGGGTGTGAGAATGGGGGCATTAAGACTTGAATTTGAGAAAGAAGAGAGCATTTGAGCAAATGAGGGAGCGAGAGGGGGAGGAAGAGAGAGAATAAGGGAGAGAGATAGAAAAGGAGGGTTAGAAGGAGTAGGAGAATCAAAGTAAAAGAAGGAAAGAAGGTTAAGTGGGATGGTGGGTTTGGGTAAAAATATACAAAAAGGAGAAACAAAACTACCTCTGAAAGGTTAGGAAAAGGATAATATATTCAACAAATACGTCAAAAACACAATAAACTACATCTGAAAGGTTAGGTTGGGTTGGGGAATAAGAACATATGATAGAACCTACCAAATAAACTACGATTACAAGAGGTTAGGTTAAGGGGTTGGGGAATAAGAATAAATGATAACAAACATAATAAATACAACTTATGAGCAACTTGATGAACTTTAACAAATAACCCTTGATCTGCAAAAATGACCATTTGAGAAATTAGCCCTTGAAACGAGTAAGTTCCTATATATAACAAAAATCCTTTGAAATGTTTAAACACCAAATCTTAAACAAATAACACTTGAAATGCAAAAACGTCCATTTGAGAAATTAACCCTTGAAATGAGTAAATGCCCATATATAACAAAAATTCTTTGAAATGCTTAAATATCCAATCTCTAACAAATAGCACTTGAAATGCATAAGTGACCATTTGAGAAATTAACTAATGAAAAGAGTAAATGAATATGAGACAATGATTGACGAAACACAAAAGACAAGAAGGAATACTTATGTAAGTTAGATCATGTCTGGTTTGACTAGATAAGTTAGGATACATCAGTTTGGGAATGTAAGATTAAGTTAGGTAAAGCAAGTTAGGTTAGGTTAGGATAGGTAAGATAAGTTACGTAAGTTAGGTTAAGTTATGTAAGTTAGGTTAAGCAGGTTAAGTTAGGTAAGGTAAGGTAAGTTAGGTTAAATTATGTAAGTTAGGTAAGATAGGTAAGGTAAGTTAGGTTACGTTATGTAAGTTAGGTTAAGCAGGTTAAGTTAGGTAATGTAGGTAAGGTAAGTTAGGTTAAGTTATGTAAGTTAGGTTAAGTTAGGTAATATAGGTAAGTTAAGTTAGGATAGGTAAAGTTAGGTTATGCAGGTTAAGTTAGGTAACATAGGTAAAGTTAGGTAAGGTAAGGTAAGTTAGGTTAAGCAGGTTAGGTTATACAGGTTAAGTTAGGTACGTTAGGTAAGTTAGGTTAAGCAGGATAAGTTAGGTAAGGTTAGGTAAGTTAGGTATGATAGGTAAAGTTAGGTAAGGTAAGGTAGGATAGGTAAAGTTAGGTTGAGCAGGTTAAGTTAAGTAAGATAGGTAATGTAAGGTAAGTCATGTTAAGATAGGTAAAGTTAGGTTTAGCAGGTAAGTTAGGTACGTTAGGTAAGGTAATGTAGGATAGGTAAAGTTAGGTTGAGCAGGTTAAGTTAAGTAAGATAGGTAATGTAAGGTAAGTTATGTTAGGATAGGTAAAGTTAGGTTATGCAGGTTAAGTTAGGTAAGATAGGTAAAGTTAGGTAAGATAGGTAAGTTAGGTTAAGCAGGATAAGTTAGGTTAGGTTAGGTAAGATAGGTAAGGTAAGATAGGTAAAGTTAGGTTAGGTTAGGTAAGATAGGTAAGGTAAGGTAAGATAGGTAAAGTTAGGTTATGCAGGTTAAGTTAACTAAGTAACATTGGGTGGAGATGATAGGTTACATAGGTTTGAACAGTGTAGTTCAGAGAACAGTTTTAGGGTAAAAGCGACTAAGGAAATATATTTTAACAAGTGCAGGTTTGGTATGAAAAGCTGAACTAGTTACATTTTGTTAGAGAAAATTTTATGACTGAAGATGTCTTAAAGAATAACATGATGGAAGAAGGAGAGTTTCTTTGATGAATGAAGGTGTCTTAGAGAACAACTTTTTGGAGAACGAAGATGAATTAGAGATCGCTTTGATGACTCTGAGAATAACTCGGGTTAACGAATATGGATTGGAAAGTTTCTCTAATGAACGAAGGTGAGTTAAGATAAACTTTTATGATTTACAGAACATCTTTGATGTCGTAGATAACAACATTGATGTCTTAGAGAACAACTTTTGATGACTCTGAGAATAACTTTGACGAGTTTGAGAATGACTTCTGAGAACATGAGTAGTATTTTGTTAGCTCAGAGAATAACTTTTTGATGACAGAGAATAACTTTGATGACTCTGAGAATAACTTTGCTGCCTTAGAGAATAACTTTCAGGACATAGAGAATGTCTTTGATGAATGGAAGGATACTTAGAGAATAACATATCATGACTGAGAATAACTTTTGATAGCTCTTAGAATAACTTTGATGTCTTAGAGAATAACTTTAGATGTCTCTGAGAATAACTTTTATGAACGAAGATGTCTGAGATTAACTTTGACGTCTCTTGGAATAACTTTTGTGGACATGAGAATATCTTTGGATAACTCTGAGATTAACTTTGATGTCTTTGAAACAACTTTTGGAGAACGAAGGTGAATTAGAGATTACCTTTGTTAACTCTGAGATTAACTTTGATGAACGAGAAAATACTTTTTGATGGCATCGAGAACAAGTTTGATAGCTCTGAGAATGACTTTTATGCCTCTGAGAATAACTTTGAGGATGCAAGTAAATTTTTGAGTGTTTGAGAGTGTCTTTTGATATCTCGAAGAGTCCCATTGAAGTCTTAAAGGATGTCTTTGATGTCTCAAAGGATGTCTTTGAGTGCAACCTTGATGTCTTTGAGTAAGTCCTTGATGTCTCGAAGAGTGTCTTTGACTATATTTCTTACTTAACGACATATAATTTTAGTTAGGAACAACGATGAATATGACTATTTTAGCGAAGTGAAAGGTTACTTTACTTAAGAACAGTGTTGGAAAGAGGCTACACATGACTATTTTAAATGATTTGACTATATTTCTTACTTAACGTCATATAATTTTAGTTAGGAACAATGATGAATATGACTATTTTAGCGATGTGAAAGGTTGCTTTAGTTAGAACAGTGTTGGAAAGAGGCTACACATGACTATTTTAAATGAGAGAAGTGATATTTCAGTTAAGAAACGACAGGGAAACATGATGAAGTAACTATTTTTAGTTGACTGATGAATACTTTTAGTTAAGGAAAAAGACAAAACATGACGAGGGAGACTATTTTTTGTGCTCCCCAAAGTATAATGTCAGTTAAGAACAGCGATGAAAGATATCTTTGGTTATTTTTTCTTACTTGACAAAACATAATTTTAGTTAAGCAAAAAAGACAAAACATGATGAACATGACTTTTCTGATGATTGGCGGATAATTTTTTTAGACAAGAAATGATAATGAAATATGATGAACACGGTT